AAAAAAAAAAAAAAGGTAAAATAGTGTAGGATTCTATTTGAGAATATTTTAAGTGTTTTTTTCATCTGTGTTCATTAGAGCTTGGCTTCTAATTTTCTTTATTTTCCTGTTTTTTCAGGTTTTATGATGAAGGATAGATCTGATTCTTAAAATATTTCTCTAATTCTCTAGAATATTTTGTGTAAATTTACTGTAAATTTTCAGGGTATTCTCCAGTGAGCTATCTGAGCTTGAAGTTTTCTTTGAGAAAAAAATTTAATTTATGGATGAAAATTTTAAAACATATATAGAAAAATTTAAGTTCTCTATTTTTCTTAGGTCGATTTTGGAAAGTTGAGTTTTTCAAATAATTTGTTTTTTTTTTTTTAAATATCAAACTTATTAAGTTTTTCATAATATTCTGTTACTTTCTTTGTAATATTTCTACAATTTCCAGGATGTTTTTTCACTCATGCTATTGTTAATTTGTGACTTCTCTCTTTTATAATTTTTGCTTAGTTTTGCTAAGGGTTTATCATTTCTACTAACCTTTTATTAATCTTTTTATACAACCAACCAGAGTCATATATGCTCTTATTTTTCATTATTATATTTCCTTTTATACTTGCATTTAACTTGTTTTTTCCCTAGTAACTTGAAATGATACTTAGATAATTGATTTTTATTCCCTTTTTATATATGTGTGTGAAAATGAAAATAAAAATAGCAAAACTAATATTTATTTAGTTCACTGTAATTTATATATATATGTGTATTTACATGCCATAAGTTTCCTTCTAGGCATGATTTTAGCTACATCCCACAAGTTTTCTCATGTCTTGTTTGTTACCATTCAGTTCAACCATATTTTCTAATTTTCATTATGATTTCTTTTTTGACCCTTGAGATACTTATAAGTGTGCTGTTTAACTTGAATACATTTGTGGGTTTTGGGTTACCTTTCTGTTTTGGATTTATAGCTAGATTTTTCTGTAGTCAAAAATATATTCTATATTTCAGTCCCTTGAGCCTTGAATTATGGATTAATATACGGTTAATATTGGTAAATATTACATATATTATGAAAGGAATGTGTAGTCTACAATTGCTGAATACAGCATTCTACATATTTAAGATAGGCTGAGTTTGTCCATCATGTTGTTGAAATTCCCTATATTATATATATTTTGCATGTAAACACTTTTTCTAATATTCTGTGAAAAGTTTCCATTAGTTACTTAGAGATATGTATTAAAATATCCCATCATATTTTTGGATTTGTCTCTTTCTCATTTAGTTTTGTCATTTTTTATACATTTTGAGGCTATGTTATTAAATAGACTGGGAGTTCTCACTTTACAGGGTAGTGTGGGACCACAAATGATTGTGCAAGCTGAAACTATGCAAAGCAAACTTAATAATTAATTGGAAAAATTACAATTGTTAGAGGACTCTAGAAGTTTTTGTTGCAAAATTAAATGCTTTCTTATTTTTAGGTATGCATATGTAAAAAAATGAAAAAATAGTGAAACTAATATTTAGTTCACTGTAATTTGAAACATCAGAAACAT